CTGACAATTGTTTTTTTTTTCTTCTGATACTCACGAAAGTGTGAGCATTGTATGTTATCTTTCGAGCTGATCTATGATGATTTCTGAGTTTTGTATTATATACTTCTGTTCTCATATTATTTCTGTTAAAAACAATTTAACCAAAAAGGGGCAGAATAGTCATTTATCTGACAACAACTCACAGTAAGTTATTCTGAATAAGCTGTCTCAAACAACTAGTCAGCTTATTTTGATAATCTGCAGATTATCAGATTATCATAGCAGATTATAAATAATCAACAGCTGCCCCAAACAGACCCTCAATTGAGCTCTTGTTCTTTACCATTAGATCCTCAATGTATGATTTAATAATTCTATCTCTTTCAATTTTTAAAACATAATCTATAAGTCTCTGATAAGTTGTTCTCGTGCTCTTCAAACCAAATAACAAGACTCAATATCAATAATTTTCATTACTAGCCATAAAGCTAGACTTCTATTATAAGCCAAGTGCATCTTGGTTGCAAAAGTTGATCGTGGGATAACATGCAACAGAGCTTATTAAGATATCTAATAGGTAGTACGTTTGGGGGGCCTAGTTCAAATTCAAAATATCAATGCATACTATCAATTATTGTTTTACTTCTTGATCATTACAGCATTCGATAATTAATCAAATTATCAGACTTCTTGAATGAACCAAGCTTCGAGCAGCTCATTCACCTTTATTTTCATATGCTGCCTCATTTCATAATCAACACATTCATCTTTATTTCGAGCTGCTCATTCCCAACAAAAATTTAGACAATTAAAGAAAATGCCCAAATCCATCCACGACATCTCAGATGGCTCCAATTTTAAATCATCAACATTATTTTATAAAAATTAATTTGGATCAATTCTAAAGTTACCTTTGAGCAAACAGTCTATACAAAAATATGTAGTAAAATTCTCTTCGTTCACCTAGACTTCGATGAACTATTGAAATCTACCAAAGTCTAAGAGCTAATTTGGGGTATTTTAAATGTCGAGGCTCAAATGCTATTCGAAAAACATATGTTGGTTAGTTGAATTTATCTCAAACAGCGGGACTAGTGAGTGAGGTTGGGAGCTTCACTATAAGATAGTATGATGATTCAACGGCATGGTAACCATTTAGGAGTGTTTAGCAAAAAAATTGTATTTTATGAAGATAAAGCATTAGAATAGTGAAGACAATCTTCTCTTAACACCGGTTGTCACCCAAAACACTGGAAGAGCAGAAATGATTCAGTTTCTCAGTTCTTGCTAGGAAACCAAATTAGAGAACCCTCTAAATCCCAAAGATTTTTCTCTCAAATGCAAAGTAGTAGACTGTGAAGAAACAGACATTTATCATGCTTCACATGTCTAGCATGGCCCAATATATTTAAAAACTTAGGATCATTTCTCTTAAAAAGCTACAAAGTTGGCCCCCAAGAACTTTAAAACTGTTGATCGCTGGCAATGAAAAAAATACAGTCAATGAAGAAAAGTATAAGTTGTTATAAAGCATTTTAAAGTGATCTTCATATATCGTACTAAGGGTGTAAACGAGCCAAGTTAAGCTTCAGTTACAACTAACTTGAACATGGTATGCCTACCCAATGGTTGGCTCGAACTCAAGCTTGAGCTCAATCTCAGCTCACCAGAATAACAATAAACTCTAGATTAACTCATAAGCTTGAGCCAAAATCTCAAAACTCTAACAAATGGAGTTTGCTGGCTTCTATGGGATCTTGCTGGAGATAACACTGACAAAATTCATGGCCTTGGGGGAGATGGCATTGACGGAAACTTGCAATAGATGGCATCAACGGTACCGATATAAGATGCCAAATCAGTAATTGTGGGAGATAGAATTGATGGAACCATATGAGTCGCAACAAGAACTTAACAGAGAGGCATCGATTAGACCAATAAGAGAAGATGCAAAAGAAATTAAAGAGAACGTCAATTAACCAACAAGAAATCTACTAAGAGCTTGCTAAAGAACGCACCAATAGAACTAGCAGCATTTACAAAAGAATAAAAGTGTGTGAGGATTGGGGATTTATATTCAATGCCTTAATGAGCTGACTCGTAAGTCGAATCAAGTTCAAACCCGAGCTCACATAATAAATGAATTGTTATCTGAGCTTGATCTCAAGCTCACCAACCATTTCATGAATTTGACTTGATCTTGCCAATAAGTGAAGTTTGAGCCAATTCGCAAGTCGGCTCAGCTCTCTTATGCTCCTACACTAGACCCTTCACAGACTCATTTGAAGAGCAGCCTCTAATCCCTACCTTCATAAATACAACAGCTATTTTGCCTCCATCAACTAGATCTATTTTAGGCCAACTCTTTCAGCATATCTAAATATAGCTCTACTAATAACTCCTTCAAGTGACCCTCCATGATAAAATTCATGATTAATGATTTAAGGTGTTGGCAATTGTATGTGGTCACAGTTGTTATGGTTGAGAAAGAATTTGTTCATGTCACTCTTCTCCAACGAGATCAAATCTTTTCCAACAATAAAAAATACTTGCAATGATGGATCAAAGACATGATGTTGTTGGCTAATGACACAGCCTAGCTTAAGGCAAAAAAATTTCAAATGACTTCCATCCCAGCCAGGTATCTTCTTACGGTATAGTCTAAGAAATTTCTATTCCACTATTTTACTCAATCTGCTCCACTATCTTCTCGATAAGAACTAAAGCATTAGAGGATTATAACATCTTAGAACGCCAAATCTCAAATGAACCCATTGACAATGATGCACTTGTCTCTAAGGCCCTAGATGAGGACCACCTTATCGATTAAAGGATTTAGATTTGAAAACTCGTACTCCTGAATCTCATGATATTGGTTTGAGGGTACTCCCCTTTGCTTGTGGTAGAGGACAAGTTTGTAAGTTTAGTGAAGCTTTTTGGAGCTCGAGAATTGCATAATGAGATGTTTATAAAGCTCATTTAAAAATGTGATGCCCAAACGATAGATGCATCTTTTAAATAAAACAAAGGGTTGTGTCTGTATGTTCAACTATGAAATTATAACATATAACATCGGATATTGAGTGGGGGTCATTGCAACCTTGAAATTGACCAAGTTATCAATCTGATTGGTAAACTTCTTATAGGATTCAGGTTGCGGGGACCATAAATTTTAGAGAAAATGGCTCCTTCGAGATCATGATAATTGACACTAAGGATGATAGTACATCTGTCACGCAATATTTGATCCTTTTTCTCAAACTGAAAGAACTTCATCTTAGGTCATCATTTGAAACCCCTTCGTGTATCACTTGATTTCTTGAGAACCAGTGAATTCGTTGCTTCGTCAAATATAGCGGCATGCTTAGGATGACTGAGAAGCTAACAAACTCTTCAAGTTCACTTTCAACAATAGCAATAACTTATGCAGGTCAACAATCTAATAAATTAGGCACTAATTGATCCAACTTAGCATCAGCAGAGCTTGAACAGTAGTAACAAATCTAAAAGATTTGTTGAGCAACCTCGTGACTCCTCTTGATTTTCAATTTCTCTTTTTTTTTATAACGATGAGTCATTTGCTCAAAATGTTAAAAAAAAATATTATCATGCAATCTGTGATTTGCTTTACACTTAGAGACAAAATGTGAAATGAATATATCCGTGATAAAGTTGGTGTAGCTCCTGTGACGGACAAAATTAGAGAAAGTCGTCTTAGATGGTTTGGTCACATTAAACGTCGACCATCTTATTATCTGATTAGAAGAGTGGATGTTTTAGATTCAACTTGTGTTAAGAAAGGCAGAGGTAGACCAAGGAATACTTGGGCTTATTGTATTAAAAAAGATCTTAATTATTGTATTAAAAAAAAAGATCTTAATTTACTAGAACTGAATGAAAATATGACACTAAATAGGACGCAATGGAGAAAAAGGATTCATGTAGCCAACCCCACGTAGTGGGATTAAGGCTTTGTTGTTGTTGTTGTTGTATGCAGCCTATGATTAGAAAGTATGTAATCACATAGGATGTGTGAAATTTGCCTTATCAGATAGAGCATGTCTCACTTAGTGATTAAAGAACACGTAATCTTCTGGATCGTGGATTTCAATAAGAAAGTCGATGTATGCCTCGCTTTGCTCATAATTGATTCCATAGAAGTTCTTTAGCAAAAGCATATTGAGCACTATGACTTGAGTCAAGAAAAGGTAATAGATCTTTTCAAGCTCTCTCGAATGGTTTTTATGAATAATTCCATTGTCGACAAGTCATGCAACCATGCAATTCAATCATTCAAGCTTACCTTGAGTCGAACAAATCTAAATATGTGAATTGTGTCTCAAACAACTTCCAAAGCATTGAATACTTATTCTACTAAATCTAGTCGATCTTGCTTGGCATCTTTGATCTATTTTGTAGGAGCATGAATCTTAGCAAGTAGCCATACAACCAGCCCAAAAAAATATCAGATCAAAATCTATAAATATTTGGCCTAAAAGCATAAGCTCAATGTTTGAACTTTGAATCATGATAGTTGTTTCTGCATTCATTCATACATGCATAAAAGCATTGGCATACATTGAGATTGAATAATTCAAAGAATGAATATTTACATTCATACCAATCAATTCTTACGTATTTACATATATAACAATTAAACAAGTTAAAATGGTGACACTTAAGATGAGATATAAAAGATTTGGGTGGTATAGATGTAAAAAATGAAGTTTTGGCGTTAGACATGTAAATACATAGGAATTGAATGGTCTGTATGTAAATGCCCCAAAATAAGCTAGCATTCCAATACCAGAGACCACAAAAGATAGACGCCGCGCCTAAATCAAGCTGTCAGCGATGCACAGAATTGGATTTTTTTTAGTAATTCGCCATGAAAAAAAATCTAAATAAATAATCATTACTGCATCAACGAATGAATTAATCCCATGAACACCAAGAATCTGAAAATTTTCAAACTAATTAAAACAAGAAACATAGATTTTTTTAGGGTTGCAGAAACCTACCTTTGCCATTGCTATCCTTCTTCCCCGATCGATAATCGTTCTTGGAACAGCGCGTTCTGATAGGGATACGATTCACCAGACTAAGATCCATCCCAAAACAAATAATAGCAGAATATATTCACAGATTAAAGCAATAATTTCATGAGAGAGAAAACAGGAAGGGAAATGGTTGCGGGTAAAATTGAGATACGCAGGAGGCTGAGAAAGCGCCACGGCGATGGAGCGGGCGCCACCATAGAAGAGCTCAGCTTCGTCGCCAGCTTGAAGCCAAAATCCAGAAGCCAATCAACGGCACGGATGTTTTAATGCGGACGGTTCGATCTGCTGCGTTTGATCTAACGGTGGACGAGAGAAGAAAGCTTGAAACTTTGTAGAAATCTAGACTTCCGATAGTATTTCTAAGAGAGAGAGTTTGGCAATTTGGCGCATAATAAAATAAAAACATTTTAGTTTATTTGAATCCTAATTTACGGTTCTTATTTATTTATATTTTAATTTGTTTACTTATGTTCATAAATATATTCTTAGATAAAATAATATATTTGATGTATGTCAGAAAATTCATAACGGTAGTATTATATTTTTAGTGTCTTAATATTCAATGAAAACTCAACACACACGTAGGTGCCTAAAGAGAGGAGTAAGAATAATGATATGTGATAAGTTTTTACGTGAAAAATTCAGAAAAGTTAATAAACTCACATGGTTTAGCTAGTTTATTGTTCACTGTGAATGGCGAGTGCGCATGTTCACTCATCCTTAAATAGGGGAGATGGAGTTACAAATATGAGTATTGTAAATGTACAATAGTGGTTCATCGATAATTATCATGGTCTGACTATAATGAATGTAGTTTTTGTTGATAGTAGGTTGTAAGAGTCACAATCGATTGTTATAAAGATAGTAGCCCGTCGTGAATGTTGTACATGGTGGTAGTAGCATTGCCTTGTCATATAAGTTGTACTTGAAAGTCATGTGGCCACAAATGGTTGTTTCGAAAGCGTTGTTCGACCACACATGGCGTGGCAGGAAGTTGCAAGAGTTATGAGCAGTGAAAGTCGCCATTGCTCACATGGTCTGTAGTGGGGAGTTGCGATGATATTTGTAGACCGCAGGTGTCGGAGTTGGTAGTTGCATTAGTTGTGAATGTTGTAATATTGAGTTGTGACAACGTCCATAGGTCGTGAGGACCTGGCTTGAGAGATGCACAAGCTACGAACCACATAGGTCGTAGTTGGTTACGTAGGCATTAGTGGTGAATTATGATGATATTTGTAGGTCGAGGGAGTTAGAGTCGGAAGTTGCATAAATTGTGGACCATGCAAGTTGTATTGGTCATGTAGGTTGTAGTGGTGAGTTGTGATGACATATGCAGACCGCGAGGACCGGGTCTTGAGCTACACGAGCTGTGAACCACGTAGGTTATAGTTTGTCACGTAGATCACAGTGGTGAGCTATGATGAAGGGCCAGAGTCGAAGTTGCACAAGTTGTGTGCTACATAGGTCATAGTGGTGAGCTGTGATGACATCAGTAGACCGACGGTCGGAGTCGGAAGTTGTGCTCCACGTAGGTTGTAGTGGTGAGCTCAATGACATCCATAGGCCTCAGTGGCAGGAGTTGGGAACAACACGACCTATAAACTACACATATTATGTTTGTGATTTATGATTACGTTAGTAGGCCATGAGGGCTGAAGTCGGAAGCTACACGAGTTGTGGACCACGTAGGACGCAGCCAATCATATAGGTCGTTGTGGTGAACTGTGATGATGCTGCTATGATGTGAGGGCCAGAGTTGGAAGTTGCATTAGTTGAGAACAATGCAGTCTATAGTTGTGAATTGCGATGAGGACATGGGCCACAGGGGCCGGAGCTCGAAGTTGGGCAAATGGAGCTTCACGAGTTCAAAAAAAGTTACCGTACATATATATCAATAGATTGGTGTTGTTGAGTCAGTGACATACCCTAAAAAAAGGAAAATGTCGTCATAATCTGCATAAGTACACTCTTGGTCCTAATTCTATACATCAATGAGATTTAGAATTAATGTACGGGGCACGTACAAGATGCTCCTGATCCCATCCAATGGTTATGCTCTCTTGGCACCTAAAAAACTGTGCCCATACTTTATTTCTAATATTGACTCTTCTAAGGACTTTAAAATGTACATAGGAAAAGTAAAAAAGGAACTTGACCTACATGAAAGCAATGTTAGTTGGAAAATAAACAAACATGCAACACATACGAGTCATGTCTGGAGGGAGGAGCTAAGCAGCGTCTGCAGAAAAAAAAAAGAGCATTCAAATTGCTACATTCATATTACATTTGTGGTGCGTATTTTAGGCATGACTTCCTGCAAGAAGACCGATCTAAAATATTACAAATGCATATCAAACATGCAAGCACACCAAAAGCACAAAAGGTGATGCCTGGCTAGGCAATCAAATTTGCAAAAAACCATAGTCAGGACATAAAAAAAGACTACACAGCATCCTAAATCATAACATAACACACAATCTAATAAGAATGTGTCTGAATTAACATCTACGTACTCAGGGTAAGTCTTTGGGTAAGTATAACTTTGACAGGGTCACCACAAGGTCGGACCGAAGTGTAATGTCGTTTGGGACAGGGCAGTCGGTCGGCTAGAAGTGTAATGTTGACCGGGTTGGGACGATTTGTCGAGGCAAAGTGTTGTATGAGAAATACAACATATAAATCCCACACAGTTGGCTAATCAATAGGCATATGGTTAGAGAGATTAGTATCGGCCGACCAATTTGCCCAACGTAGACGACCAAACTCATTGCGACACTATATAAAAGGCATACGTATAACTGAACAGCCAAGAGGTGTATGACCGGCTCAACCGGTATCATTCGAATAATTAAATTTTCTGGTGACGGACGATCAATTGAGTCGAATGATGTTGAGTGGTCGGTCATACCTGCCTTGCGTCGGCGACCAAACCCCACGAGCATACAAACATATAATGAAAAGTTTAAGATGCAATACACACCCATCATGACGTACAACATAGCATGATATAATTGATTACAATCAATAGCGAGTCAAACTCGACTAACACTCTCACATAGGCAGCTAGGATTTTAGCTTTTGGATATGCGACATAGCCACCTCCGCCTTTGGAGAGGAATTTAGAAGACTTCACCCTCTGATTTCTCATTGGAAAGTCCTTTGTTTGTAGGATTGACTTATTACAAAGTTTTTTTCTGTCTTACAACCCCTCTACGATCTTGTAGAATGGGCTAGCAACAAAGTTTTCCCATTCTTCAAGATCCAATTATTCCAACCCTTCAAGGAAGGTTGGAAGCGCCAAAGTCATATGAAATTAGGATTTTGACCCATTAGGATTTAGATGTATGATTTATAACGAGAAGTCACTCAAATTCACAAAGGATTTGACAAAAAATGTGCTTTTTAACCGAGGGGTTCCTCTAGGAAATTAAAAACACAAACCTAACATTCTCTGCAAACATCCTAGTGTTGGCTAAGAAAGAGTATGCAAAGGACTTTAGAGAATCTCAAGACCGCGGTGGTTGAATGACATCCCAAGCTTGCGTCTCGGATGAAGTTCTCCTAATAGTAGGAGAGAAGCCCGCTCAAGTCCTTCCCCAAAGTAATGAGGAAGTTCTCATCGTCGGAGAGATCTCCAGAAATTTTTCTCCAACGTAGTATGACACTCTCCTCTTCCAATATAACATGAGCTCGTCGGAGTCCCCCTTTCCTCAAGCTAGGATGAAGCTCTCCTATCCATTCTTCATGGAGAATTCACTGGAGAAGGAATAAGTCGCCAAAGAAGACGGAGAAAGGTGAAGAAGATGAAGAAGTTGAAATATGACCAACTCTCTCGACTTCTCTCATTGAGGAAGGTGAAGTGCCTTCCTTTCTTGTTCCCGCCAAGAAGCTTTCTCCAAGTGGAAGATGAAGTTTTCCTTTCTTGCTCCAAGCTCTCAAGTCTCCAAGTGCTCTCTCAAGTCCAACCCCAAAAATCTGAAGTGAGGAGGATATTAAGTGTGGATGATGGAGGATGAGAGGGAAATCAACTCAAGCCAACATTAAAACAAGCCACACTCAAAATTTCCCTCCTATTTTGCTAAAAGTGACCTCGTGATGCCACCTAAAAGATTTTAAAAGAGGTATCATGAGCCTCTTTTTATCTCCCCCATGCATATCTTCATATCAGCCAAAGAGATCCCACTTTTTTACTGCCTAGGGAGTGCACCGGGGTCAAATTGGCCCCAAAAATGAGAAAAACCGCGTTCAGGAAGTGGATCAGTGCCCATGTGACAAAAATTGCTCAAAATTGACCTCCCCTAAAGTTTTAAGCCTTAGAGGTTTTTTTGGGCGCCTAGGTGCATGAGGCAGGTGCCTTGGCATTGATCTAGCCTCAAAAATGTTATTTTCGCATGAAACGTCCGACATAAGGTTTTCTCGATCTGAAAGCTATGGGAGACCACATGTGAGTAAATTATGATTCCCTAACTTAAAAAAAAGAGTATTTTGCTTATTCATTGATCAATGAGCTCTCTATACTACGACGCAGGTAAGGCTTTTAAACCTAATTTTCTCGTAGCACGCATAAGAGGGCTTCATGACTTCGCTTAACCTTAGGGAGGCTCTGAATGGATGCATTATGGTCTCTAAACACCAGAATGGACATTAGGCATGCCTCATGTTCTGAATGAGTTCTTCCAATGGTGTATTCTCCCGGGTAAGGTTGAATCATTAAGAACCTTGTCTTTATGCCCCGAACTAGAAAATTTCAAATGAGTGTCTTATGCTACGATACACTACGAATGAGTAATGAATCAGCATGAGCTAATAATGTGGACACCATACACAAGTGAAATAAAAAATTGATGCCAACAGTCCTCCTCGGAGGTAATATGGTCGTTGGCTAATTCCAATACTTCAATAAAAGATCTTGGTTTGAGTAAGTTCAAGTCATACATGAATCATTAGTTGTGGATTCCCTGCTTCAGAGCAGTCTAGAAGATGAGTGGATCTAAGTTTTTTACATCCAGCATTTCCTTCTTGAAGTGAGCGATGTAGGCTCGTAGGCTTTCATTCTCTCCCTACCTGATCTGGAGAAGGGTCTCAATATCCTTCTTCGGCTCCTGCACATTGGTGAAATGCACCAATAAGAGTTTTATAAATTTGTAGAAGGATGGGATGATCCCATCTGACAAGCTGTTGAACGACCAAAACTCAACCTCCTTTAGCTTGGTCAGGAAGAGTCGACACTTCATAGTGTCATCAAACTATAGAACTCCAACCGATGATTCAAAGGCAACCACGTGGTCCGTCAGGTCGCTCTTCTCATTCTAAGAATCCAGATTCGGAATCCT